GTAAAAATATTTGCGTAGTTTTTTTACTGATGGTAGCTTTCTGATAAAACTGAGCATGTGTGGCTGAATTAAGGAAACAGTGAAGGGGTCATTAGAACTGACCTGGACGTTAATGGATCTAAATGTCTTTGGATGTTTCCTTACATTCAAGTGCTGTTAGGTAGAGAGATTCCTGTGGCTTCATAGCTTGTTTTGAGGGGCAAAAGCTCTGTTCTCTGCTCAGTATTGAGAATAACATTTAAGTTCAGTTTTCCAAATGTGCTGGTGTTGTAGGAATAAATACTACATAACAGTCTTAATTCTATACTGTTCCTTGAAATACTGAATTTACTTTCTAAGTCATTTGGGCCAGAGACCCTCATTTTGCTTTGTCTTTGTACAGTTCTAATCTAATAGGGGGCCCTAGGTAAAATAATACAAACAATTTTACACATAAAAGTCAAGTTGGAGAACTAAGTTGCATATCTTCCCCTTTCCCATTTGTGTTAATCGTATATGGTCTAAAACAGCTCTGCAGCTGAGCATCCCCAATTCAGGAAGAATGTGGAATATTTTGTTTTCTATGATAAAATATAATACTTGTGTTTCACTCTTGAAGCGCTTTGCAAATAGGAATAGGCGCTGCAAGGTGCCAAAGTGCATCCTGAGGAAAACGAAGTGAATTCCCCTGGTTTTGGATCCATTGTGCTGAAGCACCTTTGTGGTCCGCATGATGCCACCATTCCCAGGATCATCCACAAGCGCGAAAGGATACTGCTGTTCATCTCCCACTGTAGGAAGGATGGATACCACGTTCCTGAAGACTGGCACCTTTGGATGCTGGAGATTTCCATGCTGAACTCTTGAGGCAGTCTTGCTCTGTGTCAACCTAACTAAGTTCAGGATGTTAAGCTTTCCAAATATACTTGGATGAGCCAGGGCTTAGCAAGGCACAGCTCTACCAAACAGATCTATTGAACAGGGAGAGGCAGATACAAGAAGTAGCCTGGTCAGTGGAGGTGAGGAGATACTGAAGCCAGGTAGGAGGCAAAATGAGTCATTTCCAAAATCCCATTTGTCAGGGAACTGGGCACGGGGGGCAGCTGTAACACAAGCTTGTCCCCAGACATGGATTTGTAGTTGAACTTCCGCACCATTCTCCTGCCCAAGGTCAGGCCATCCTTGTAGTCTGACTGGATTTGCTCCTTTCTTTGACAACATAACCAGAAGAGGCAGTAGTTTGGGTGATTATGATGTTATGTGAGATAGCTTCCTACATAGTATGTATTCATATGTAGCTTCGTATTACCTAGAAAGTGAGAATGAGCAAGATCTTACTAAGAAATAGTAACAGGGTGACCAAAACAATTTAGACAAATGATGTACTTCCAAGCTAACTAAAAGGAAAAGTATCAAGATGAAGAAAAAAAAAAAAAAGAGGGAAGGGGGAAGGGGAAAGGAAAGGAAGAACCTGCTTCCTAGATTTAAGGTTCAGTATTCCAAGAAAAACTAAACGCGTAGCAGGGGGGCAGGATGCTGCAGGTGCGCAGCACAGCTGCAGTTTGGAAGTTCATGTGTCTGATTTCAGAGACCTGCCTCTGTGTGGGGCATCCTTTCTGAAGCAGAGTTTGCACAGCATCTTGCACTGTTTTTTTTTTTTTTTTTCTTCTTTCCCAAATACTGGTAAATGTATAGAACATTATACAGACAAGGTTTTATTTTAGTCTCTTGCCCTGAAGTGGACATATATCTGTCTTTCCAAAATGCAGAGTCCTGGGGTTTCTGAGAGGCTGAAGCTGAGCCCAGTCCAGCCAGATGTTGGCTTGAGGGAATGAACTTGCAGGGATCACAAGTTGCCATTGGTTCAGAGTCTTCTGAGTTTTATCTTCTGCTATCAAGTGCCACATTCAGTATGAATTATTCTTTCTTGATGTCTTCCAGTTCCCTGCTTAAAATGCTACTCCCAAAAATAATAAAATGATCTTAGCTTTGTGGATATTCTCGCGGAAAAGAACATACAATACGTGCCCGGTCCTGAAAAGCTAATTTATATTTTGTGCTATAAGTGAAGGACAACGATGTTGGGCTCCTGGGAACATTTTTGCTGCGGTTCTTCCCTTTAATGATTAACCCCTGACGGACTGCACGGCACGGAGTCACTTCGCGCCTTTGCATTCCCTTCCGCGCCGCACACGTTGCCATAACAGCCTCCCGAAGCTGGGTCTGGAACCCTTCTCCGCGCTCCTCGGGCTGCCGCTGCTGCC